GGGGATGTAATCGTGTGTGGCCATGACTGCGTGGCGTGACTGTGTGACCGATTGCGTGGGTGTGATGGTGTGCAAGCGAGACAGCGCGCGTGCATGTGACTGCGACTGTGCGACTGCGTGTGCCCGGGGACGGGTGCCTGCCTGGTCGGTCCCCTCCGTGAGACGAGCAACACGGTTTCCATTTTGTCTCTTTCTAGGGGATGTTTGTTCTGGGCCTGCCCTATGCCATCCTTCATGGCGGATACCTAGGACTCTTTTTAATAATTTTCGCCGCAGTGGTGTGCTGCTACACTGGGAAAATCCTTATTGCCTGTCTTTATGAAGAGAATGAGGATGGGGAGATAGTCAGGGTGAGAGACTCCTACGTGGACATAGCGAACGCGTGCTGCGCGCCTCGCTTCCCCACCCTCGGTGGCAGAATTGTGAACGTGGCTCAGATCATTGAACTGGTCATGACCTGCATTCTCTACGTGGTGGTCAGTGGGAACCTGATGTACAATAGCTTCCCCAATTTGCCCGTCTCCCAGAAGTCGTGGTCCATCATTGCCACGGCAGTGCTCCTGCCTTGTGCGTTCTTGAAGAACCTCAAGGCAGTCTCCAAGTTCAGCTTGCTCTGCACCTTAGCCCACTTTGTGATCAACATCTTGGTGATCGCCTACTGCCTCTCCAGGGCACGCGACTGGGCCTGGGACAAAGTCAAGTTTTACATTGACGTGAAGAAGTTTCCCATCTCCATCGGCATCATTGTCTTCAGCTACACCTCTCAGATCTTTCTGCCTTCCTTGGAGGGGAACATGCAGAACCCCAAGGAGTTTCATTGCATGATGAACTGGACTCACATAGCAGCTTGCATCCTTAAGGGACTCTTTGCCTTGGTCGCCTATCTGACCTGGGCTGACGAGACCAAGGAAGTCATTACAGACAACTTGCCATCCACCATTAGGGCAGTAGTCAACATTTTCTTGGTGGCCAAAGCCTTGCTCTCGTACCCCTTGCCGTTCTTTGCGGCTGTGGAAGTCCTGGAGCGCTCCCTTTTCCAAGATGGAAACAGGGCGTTCTTCCCCAACTGCTACGGGGGTGACGGGCGGCTCAAATCCTGGGGTCTCACCCTCAGATGTGCCCTGGTGGTTTTCACCCTGCTCATGGCTATCTATGTCCCACATTTTGCCCTCTTGATGGGTCTTACTGGGAGCCTCACAGGTGCAGGGCTCTGTTTCCTGCTCCCCAGTCTTTTCCACCTCAAACTCTTGTGGAGGAAGCTCTTGTGGCACCACGTCTTCTTTGATGTCGCCATTTTCGTTATAGGTGGTATCTGCAGCGTCTCTGGGTTCATCCACTCTTTAGAAGGCCTCATAGAAGCCTTCAGAACCAACGCTGAAGACTAAGGAGGGGCCAGAGCCGGTTGCAGTAAGAGAATCGCATCGAACATCCGCATAGCCAAATAATTCTGCATCCCTTTAATGGAAAGAGTCATTATTTTCGTTATGTGCATCCAACAAATTCTATGTCATAGAACCCGCAAATTAAAGGAAATAAGAAGAGATTAAAGTGTCTGCCCTGCCGTCTTTTTAAATAAGCTAAGAGTTGAATATATTTTTTTGTTATTTAGAATTTTTCGAAGGAAATTATTCAGCGCCCCACCCCTATCTCCTCACTCGTTGCCTGAAGCTTGGCCCCCCCCCGCGAAAGACCTGTTGGGAAACACTCGCAGTTTTCAGTATTCCTTACAGATATGCAATTCAGTGTTTCAGGAGCTGAAACACAGGTGCCGACCCGATGGGACTGAGTTACCGCGCTCACAGACAGAAGGAAACCAGTCGTGGGTGCTGGGAGCGGGGACTTTTGTTTGACACTGCGTGAGATGGATGTAGACGAGACCTAGATTGTACGACCAGCCCAACAAGTCCGAGCAGCGGCTGATGACCAGCGATGCCAGTTACCTGCGATGTTTACACCGTAGTCACATAGATGTCAGGACCGCTTCATTCTTCCGGCTGAATTCACACCGAGGAACGGCGTTTCCCATCGATGACAATGTTTTGCCTCTGGTTGAAATCGTAGACTTGGAGTCCACTTCTCGGTGACTTTTGTTTTGTTTTGTTTTAACGATTCTTATTTCTAAATTATGACAAGTTTTAAAAAAAAATATTGTTGGATTTGACGTCGTTCAGGATACAGGAACAAAACTATGACACAATTCATTCTGTGCAATCTACCAGATCCGTGGAGCTGTTTCCAATGTACGTGTGGTGTCATTGTGGTAAATAAGATGAAAAATGTATATCAGAAAAAAAAAAATAATCTATCTTTAACATATAATGTGGTACATAAATATATCGAATAATAAAGAGAAAACATAGTCGATGAGGCTGGCCTGGTTCGTGGGGGGGCTTGGAGGAACTGGGCAGGGGCAGAGAGAGGTTCATCATCCCTGTGCCTGATTGCATCGGGGGCACCACACATCCTTAATCCCACCGACGGTGTGACTAAGCTGTTTGCAAGAGGTAGGACACTTATATTTTGGGAAGGTGTCATCCTACAGTTGCGGGGGGGGCTCCTTTCACCCCCACCTCTGGCTTTGTTTTACCCCATAGTACTCAGACTCCGGGGATGGATGGAGTTTGCAGATGTAACCTGAGATTTTTGTTCTTGTGAAGGAAGGGGGAAAAAAACAACTTATAAATGAACAAATGCAGTGAAGGAG